GAGAGTGCAGAGTTCTTCCTCCGCCGCTTTTTAAAGCGATCAAACAGCGCGGCGGCGGCCCCCGGCTGCCGGTCGGCCTTGCTGTTCTATTGGTTTTAAAAGTATGCTTAGCGTCCGCGGCAGCAAGCGACGCGCTGTAATGAGCTTACCGCCAGGGGGGAGGCGACAGGGGGGCGGCGGGGGCGGCCGCAAAGTGAAAGGTGCGCGAGTAGCATCACGATGCAAAGCCTGTCCGCGCCCCGCGCCCTGCGGCCTATGCCTTGCCCTCGCCCGCCCCGGGCCTCTTGAGCAAAGTTCTTCACCGTAAAAACGAGATTGGGACCCCGAGCCGCCGCCTTGTAGAGCCTCCTCGATACGGGGGGAAGGAGACCATCACCGGCGCCTCTGCCTCCTTTGGGTCGGCCCGGCCCGGCCCGCACATCATCCAGCGACACAAAGCAAAAGTTAATTGCTTCCCGTGCTTTTAATAAATTCCTCAGCGAGGGGCCGGCGCGGCGTGGCGTGGCGCACACACCGCCGGAATGCTGATGTTCCCAAGGACCGGCGGCCGAGCCGAGCGCCGCGCAGAGGGTAGGGTAGGGTCGGGTACCGGGCCGGCCCCCCTACGCGGCCGGGCTAGGCCACACGCTGCGCGCGCCCGCGCGCCGGGACTGCCGGGGCGCGCGGTGCAGGGGCCCGGGGCCCGGGGCCCAGCCAGGCCGCACCCACTGTAATTGGGTTCCGGGGAGCCTCCTATACCGCTCCGACGGGCGAGAGTAAGAGTAGCGAGACGGGACTGCAGAGGGTGACAGAGGAGAGAGAGAGAGAGAGCGAACGAGAAAGAGAGAGAGAGAGCTACAGAGGATTCAGAAAGGAGGGCTCTTCAAATACAATTGTAATTGAATAGAGAATGCGTTATTTACTACAACTGCACACCTTCTATGGCATAGAGCACGCCATCTCGTGCGTACATAAAGGGTGTTCAGGAAATGCTGCATACAATTACACAATTTTGGTTTGCAGGTGGTAGAGTGACGGAGGATAGAGGGCGATAGTGAGATGCTAGGGGTGAGGAGGGCCGGAGCGAGAGCGCAGAAGCGCGCGATTGAGCGAGACAAAGCGCCAAGAGCGAGCGAAAGAGCGCGCGCGCGGTGCGCGGACGCCGCCAATACCGCTCGCTCTTTGATCCCCCGGCAGCGGCGGGCGGGGCGCGGAAGAGCAGAGGGGATGATGGTGGAAAATGCATTCCGAAGTCGAGCCGATCGAGCAGGCGAATAGAGCGCGGGGAAGACAAGGCAGAGCAGAGAAGACGCAAAGCGTAGCCAGCAGTACAGCAGCAGTGCGGAGGAGCCCCACGGAGGAGTCTACTCCGAAAAAAGAGGGGGAAAAGTGAGGGGTGTCGCATCATGGTGCATCGCGAACCTGTCGAAGTGAGGCGTTCCAGTCCGCCGCGCCTCGCCGCACCCCGCCCCGCTACAGCGCGCGGCGCCGGGCCGGGCGCGAGGGGAATGCCAATGCGGCGCCAGGCAGCGCCGGGACACTTCTTCGAGCCAAACTCGGGCGGGTGCTCGTGTTCGCCTGCTCCGACAGCGCCGCGCGGCTCTCACACCACCAGCGGCTCGCGCGCTACCAGGAATCCGATCTCCCCACGCAATTTCTGTTCATTCATTCCTCGCATTATTCGTCGCAATTTTTCCTTCTCTTTCTCTCTCCCTCCGCGTCTTTCGAGAAGGATGACAAATTGACGTGAAATATGGTTCGGGACGGAATTCCTCGCGGCGAGTCTAACGCAGTCACGTCCGACTCGCGCGGCAGGGCGTGGGGCGGTATGGTTGGCCTTCCCCGCGGACACTCCCGCACAGCGCAGTGACGCGCACCCACAGAGGACTGTCGAGACTGACTCGAAAATAAAACATCCTCGCGCATTTCAACGACAGGGCAAGAAAAACCGGACGTGGAAAAATAAAAAAGTCGGTCAATCCAGCGCACACACACGCACGCAAGCGCGCGCCGGAGAGAGAGCGAGCTAACAGATGTTGGGGGAAATAGGAATTGGAGTGTTAATTTCGACGTATGGCATATATTTGTCGCGGGCAGAGATAATTAGCATACCGCGACGATACATGGCGAGCGACACGACGTGCGCATCGGAGGGGAGGGGAGGGAGGGAGGGAGGGAGGGAGAGGGAGGTGGATAGGGGGTGGGGGGGAGTCGCTGAGCTGTCGAGCTGCCGCCGACACTCGCGCGGCTGTCACAGACGCCTGGCGCCTGCGCGGCCACGCCGTGCCACGCCAAATAATATGTATGATAATGAAATGTTGGCGGCCAATCCGATGCCATCCGAATGAGGGGTGGGCCTGCCTGGCTGACGCACGTGTTGGGTCACCCTCCTCTCCCCTTCCCTTCCCTTCCCCTTCAAGGCTCAGGCGGATCCGTCCTGGAGGCGTCCTGGCGCCGCGTGGAGAGAGAGAAAAAAAAAACCTCCCGCAGAACGACGTCAATCGGCAAATGGGATGAAGTGAGCTTGCGGGCGCCACCACCGGCGCAGAGATTCGAGCTCGGAAATTTTGCTGGGGCTGTTATTCAACCCCCTGCAAAGCAGCAGTTTCGAGCTAATAATTCAGCAGGAGCCCGAGAGAGCCCCCCCCCCATCCCCCCTCCCTTCTTATTAGAAACCGATGGCTTGAAACAGGACCACGGCTACGACGCCGACGACGATGGAGACGACGGATGCGGCTTCTTGGAGCCGAAGCGGAAAAGGGGGAAGGGAGAGAGGGGAGCGGGGATATAATATAAAATTTCAACTTTATTATCTCTCGCTCTCTCGTTTCTCGCTCCGATTCCACCACCGCGACGGTCATAAACCGGCCGAGTGAACTTGGCGGCAAAAAGAGAATTCCCCCCCCCCTCCCCCTTCCGCGCCGCTTCCCTCCGGGATCCCTTGACCCGCGGCGCTGCATCACTTGGCGGCCTCGGCCGGCTCCGGCCCGGCCACTGCGGGGTGACTTCTTATTCCCGAGTCGCATTACTATGCAAAGACTCGGGCGGGCCGGGCGATATTCATAGCCGGCTAGCTCACTTCCATCAATCACTATTGAACCCAATCAGGCGGGGCGGGGGCGTGCGCTCAGCCGAAGCCGCGGGCGGGGCGGGGCGGGGCGGGGCGAGGGGCTAGCACAAGGATGCCCACGCCGAGTATCAACCCGCCTGGTATTGGTTCAGAGAACAGGCGGGCTGATACTCGGCTCTCATAGCGCCTAGTACGTAGGCAACATCTTGCCTGCAGAGCACGCGTGCACTGCTGGGTGGCCTACCACAAGTTTCGCAGGCGCCGGGCTCCTGTAATTTGCCGTCCGAATCTGAGACAAGCGCACGTACTTTCCGAACGATCCCTTGAGGTAACCGATTGGGCATTGGTATTGCATGATTTCGCTGTGAAAATCTCGAAAAGGCCGACATACTTTTAAAAATTCTTTGCAAATGTGTCTCATTTTCTCCGATTATCACTGTCAAGCGTTGTGTCCAATTGTATCGCATTGTTTTTTGTTGAATGTTTCTGTAGGGTTTATGAACGTTTTCGCCGCGGTGTATTTTGCCCAAAGTCCCACGCCCCTCGATCGTCTCCTCAGCCGCCTTCGGTCCGGCCAGCGTCACAATGCGCTCTGATTTGCTTGGCCTCGTCGGGCGAGCTGTGAACCTCGGCAGCATGTCCGATACCTGGGGGGGTCGAGGGCAACGAGGGCCTTGTTCATCCTGCAAAGGAAAACTCCGCAGCAAAATGTTGGCGGACAGAGGGGGGGGGGGTAGGGGAAGAAGTGACTTTATTCCCCCTCGTGATAGTAGTGCAACAGTGGCAGGGATCAAGATGATGCCTTACGAGAGGGAGAAAAAAATCCGCTAACAAATTTACTTCTTTCTTGCCGGTCGATTAGTTATTGCTGTCTCGGATGTCAGTGCGGCGCAGCCCCCTCGAGGAAAAAAATTGCGTGCGGCGGCAAAAACCCGAGGCTGATTGTGGGAGAGAGCAGAAGAGGGAAGCAGACATTCCTCTTCGGCTTCTCGCGACACCCGCCCGCTGCCCGGCCACGCCACGCCCCCGCACCCTCCTTTACCGAGAGGGAAGCGTGGGCTGCTGGCGGAGTTGGCGCGGGTGCTGCGAGAGAGAAGTCCGGGACCGAGTACGCGGAGAGACTTCGTGGAAAGCCTGGGCAGTTGAAACGCAGCCCACACTCCGCCCCGTCAGTCCATCACGGAGGCCCCAACTTGGGTCGGGGCATGGTGTCGCCTGGTGCTGGTGCCTAATGAGTGACTATGGCGCCGACGAGAGTCCACTACAAAAAGCAAACAGTCTGACCTTAAGCCAAATTTAATTACTGCAAAGTAGTTGGGCGACGCGACGACGACGCCCCGCAACCCCCCCGCCGCGCCACGACGGAAGGCCGAGGCTGGCTGTTGTAGCAGCAGATGGCGGCAGGCAGAATCTCCACCACGGCGGAGACAGAGGAAGAGGGGGGAGGGGAAGGGTGGCAGGGGCGCTGGTCGGTGGGTGAGTCAGCTCGGGATTAGCGGAACTCCTGCGACGGAACAGCCGGTGCGGGGGCGTGGTGGGGCGGGGGCGGGGCGAGGCGCCGACGACACACCCGGCCCGGCAGGCGTCGCGTCGTGGGCGCCGCGCAGACGTCGCTTGTCGCTCCGCATCATGTCGGGCCAAAGTGACGATGAGGTGCCGTGAGTCACGAGCGCGCCTCGCGGAGTACCCGCGCGGAATGACAAGTGGCGCCGCGGTCAAAGGAGCCGGGCCGAGGGCGAGGGCCAGGCAGCGCCGAGAAGGCCGCGAGCACGCCCGGCCCGGGGGACGCCCCGAACGGAATGAATATTTAGCGACTTATCGGCGTCAGCGTCAGCCGCCGCGGCGGCGCGAGAGTTCAAAGACGACGTCAAAAAAGCGCTCGCAGGCGGCCGGCAACGGCAGCGGCCAGAAGCGCGGCGAGCGCGCCTCTCTGGGCCGCGCCTCGCGCCACGGTCCTCGCGCGGAACTGAGAGGCATCCGTCGTCGTCATCGTCGTCGACAGGAGCCGGCTCGTTGTCCTTGCCGATTTATTTCCATTCCCGTCGCCCGGCGGTACGCCGTGACCGCGCGGCCGTGGCAGACGAGTGCCCCGGACACACTCTGCACGTGACAACGGCTGACGGACGGAGGCTGCGCGGTGCGCGGCCGTGGACACGCTGGAGCGGCCCGACGCTTATCTGGGCGCGGGTCCGGGCAGGGGCAGGGCCTGCCAGCCGGCCGGGCAGAGATAGCCAGCCCCGGGCCGCTCAGGGAGGCACGGCTTTGAGCACCGGCCTGTTCGAGACCTCGTGCGTCGCCAGCACCCCACCCGGCACAAGGTCGGTGGCGGCGCGGAGCTGCTGGAACTGCATCGTCTGCAAAGGGGGCGGACAGGAGGGGGGGGGGGCGAGTTAGGTTTGTGCGGGACAGGCAGAACGTGGCGCTTATCAGTACAGCCCCGGCCTCCGCCAGGACCGCCGAGCCCCCGGCCAGCGGACAACTGGGCGCCCACCTCCTCCTGTTACTCCTACCACCCTGGCGCCCCCATGACCCCCACAACTACTCACCTGCTTGCAGCAGATGCCCACGGGGTTGGGGTACACGATCCACACCACGTTGTTGTCCTCGCGCCCGATGAGCGTCCCCGGGTAGGTGACGTAGCCGAAGGGCGCGGCGGCCTCGGCGCAGCACAGCAGCGCGTTGTGCTCGAGCGGCGTGCACGACATGGGCGTCTCGATCTTGGACAGTTCGCGCGCCAGCCGCGAGAAGAAGGCGTTCTCGATGTTCGACATCTGTCGGCAGGTAGAGCCCGGTGAGGACGGAAGGTGCCCAAGGTGCCCCCGCCGGGTGGAGGAGGACTGGAGGCGCTACTCACGTGCAGCATGAAGGCCACGACGCAGAGGCCGCCCTGGTGGCGCAGGGCCTCCGCCTTGCAGCCGTACTCGGCGCGGTAGTGCAGCAGGTGCACCTCCATGCAGAAGCGCTGCCCGCCCACGCGATGCACGCTGCCCAGGCTCTCCGAGGAGCCGCTGCCCCAGTGGAAGTGCATCGAGTCGAAGATGTAGTGGTCGAGCAGCGGGCCGCCGTGCAGGGTGGGCGTCAGGTGGGGGTTCAGCAGGCGGACCTCGACTGCAGGACGGAACGGGGGTGCGCAAGGCGCGGCTTCAGTACTGCCAGGACCCTAATTCGCGACCCCATGAAGTATAGCGTTGCGTGCGCACACACCTGTCTCGCCCGTGTTGGACATGCGGCTCAAGGCGTTGGGGTTGAAGTGGCCATCGTACACCAGGGGCGACAGCTTGACCTCGGCAAGGCCCTGCGGGGACACGTCGATGGGGGACAGGAGCGGCGCGTCCGGGTTGTCCGACTGGAACGGGTCGAACGGCCAGCCAGTGCCGGTGACTTCAGCATCTAGGGGGGAAAAGAAGCGGCAATTAGAGGCGCTTTTTAGAGAGGTTCGGAAGTAAAACATGTTGAATGTGAATGCTTACTAGGAGGACAAGCTTCTTTCCTCTGCTGGGCTACATCATATGCAATGCTGTCCCATTCCTCATCAACTAGGTCACAGTACTTGATAGCCTCGTATTCAACATATTGTCGGTCTGCCTCTTGTTCAAGCCACATCAACTTCTCATCTTGATAGATCTACGCAGATCAAACAAATATTTTTGTGAAAAATTAACAATTGAAGTAAAAAGACGTGCAATAAATTTTTAACGTACAACAGTTTTTGGAAGGGAACAGTTTACGCAGTACTTAAACTAAAATGTAATACTAAATAATAAAACAAAATAAATCCAAGACATTAAAATTTTAGGATTTGATGATTTTTTTACACATTCTGGAAACCCAAGTGTGTACATGTATGTGTGATCTCCTGAATACATACCAGTGTGCAGCAGGTAGTGAGTACATATATGATAACGTTTGCAGTGGATGGCATGCACATGGCCAGGTACACACTTTGGCACGTAGTTTTCAGCGTGTACCTGGCCATGTACACACCATCTCCTACACACCTGACTACGTGACACAATCTACTGCATACAGTTAGGTATTCAGGAGACAACGCAAACGCGTACACACTTGAGTTTCCAGAGCACATAGAGTAAATCTCCAAATCTCACATTCAACAAGAGTTACCAGAAAATCTAAAATGAAACACTTACAGTCCTCCAATTAAATTTTGTGACTTTATAATAATAAGAAACCTTCTACCATGTTTGTAATGTTTACAAGCAGAACAATAGCAGTTGAAAATTACCTACAGTGGAATTTACACGAATGGGCATAACCTCCAACGCAATTCGCCCCATTCACACGATCATCACTGAATAAACGAACAAACAAATCCTCGTACACGACAAACTACAACGTGCTCACCTAAACCACACATTATTGTTTCAACGAATACAGAAAAATATAAGAGAATTCTTTCGGCCACCTGCAAAACCCAACTGTGCACACCTTCGCTGCCTCCACAACCGCAAATCACGTGGTCGTGGTTCGATCTAACTGAAGACAAGTGCTGCAGCTGCACATTCGCGCCAAGAAACTCTCCCCTCCCCAGTACCCCAAAACACACAAATTTTTCAAAATGATGGTTTTCTTTTGATATCTGAATAGTAATAATAAGTATGGGATGGTAATAGAATCGAACAAAATTCGGACTCCTCACATACTTCAGCATATTTTTCGGATGATGTAAACACACTACTCGGCCTTATGACGCTCACCTTTAGAGCACGTCCGTGGCACGGCGCCGCGGGTTTCATCTCGTTGAGGGAGCGCTTGGAGTGCAGCACAGCGGGCGTGACAGCCATGCTGTTGAAGAAAACGGGCTGCGGGCCGCGCTGCTCTTCCAGCTCCGGTTTGAAGTACTGGAACTCGTAGGGTGGTGGCGGGGGCGGGGGAAGCTCCTGGCCCGGGTACCCGCCTCCTTCGCCTGCCTCGCCTCCCTGTGCTCCGGCGCCCTGGCTCCCCGCGCCCGCGGCCCCTGGCGACGCACCGTCAGCTCGCTCCCCAGCAGCGCTGCCCTCTCCGGTCAGTGGCGCAGCGCCCAGCTCCCGCTCCATGGCCTCAACGGCCTCGTCGCCCTCTATGATGCCGGGTGGACCCTCCGCGTCGGCCCAGGCTTCACCAGCGGCGCTCCCCGTTCGCGACTTGGTGGACTTCTTAGACGACTTGGAGCCCTTCTCGCTGAGGCACTCACCGCCGTCCACGCTGCCCTTGTGGCTGCCCGTTCCCGTCACCCCCGCCGTCGCCTCTGTTGCCGCTGTCGTTGACGCTGCGGCTCCCGCTGTTGAGGACGCTGCGCCCGCCGCTGTTGTCGACGCCGCGGCCGCGGCTGCCACCGTGCTACCCCTGGCGCTCATTCTCCCGCTGCCCGTCTGGCCGCCAACCTGGCTCGCCGACTGCCCCGCTGGCTGGCCGCCATCAATAGCTTCCTGATCCTCGGGTCTCTCTTCGTCCAACTCTGGGTCTCCCGTCGCATCGGCCCATCCGCGGTCACCACCCTTGTCGCCGTCCTCCCCGCCGTCTTGACCGCCCCCTGCGCCGCCGAGTTCACCGCCCTGGCCACCGCCGAACTCTCCGCCCTCGCCACCGAGGCCGCCGCCGCCGCCACCACCACCTCCGCCCCCGCCGTACTCGCCGTGCTCGCCACCGTGTCCTCCCGACCCCTCGCCCTGGCCTCCCCCCTCTTGCTCTCCCACTCCTTCGGCTCCCTCCATGACACCTGCACCTGTTATAGGTGCCCCCACAGTCGAGCCGGCGCCGAGGGGTCTTTCTCCCGCCTGCACATCTCCAGGCCCTCCCTCACCGCCTGGAACTATGCGGGTGTCACCGTCTACGGTGGGTCTCTTGGCCGCCGCTGTTCCATCTCCACCAGGCTCAGCTTCACCTGGCCTTGCTTCACTGGCACGAGGAGCTCCCTCCAGTGTGTTGAGGTCAGCCCCTCCTTCGAAGGCAGCTCCAACGCCGGCTCCTCCTTCTAGAGTGGCAGTCGGATCAGCACCTGCAGATGCAGAGCCCAAGTCTGGCCCACCTTGCGAGGCACCGCCGACGTCGGGTGCCCCATTGGCGCCAGCAGGAACTCCGGGGGGTGCGACCGCTCCAGCGGTAGTTCCTGGGCCAGCACCAGGGCCCATGGCTGCATCAAGATCGGCGCCTCCTTCAAAAGCAGCAGCGAGGTCAGCGCCTCCTTCAAAAGCAACGCCGAGGTCGGCGCCTCCTTCAAACGCAGCGCCGAGGTCGGGCCCGCCACCAAAAGCAGCTGTCGGGTCGGCGCTTCCTTCAAATGCAGAACCGTAGCCGGACCCTCCGAGCTCAGCCATCTCATTAACTCCGCCATTCCCAGCCACACCTGAGCCCGCTTCCGCTAGCAAGCTTTCGGCGCCTTTCACAACCCCATCGACAAATGCAGCTGCACTCGGCCCTCCAGTAGCGGTTTGTGGACCTGGACCATAGCCCACCGTGCTTGGTGTGGCTGCTGCAGGGCTCGGTCCTCCAGCACCAGAGGCTCGTCCAATGTTTGCGCTCGGTCCTGCTGCGCTGGGAGCACCTGCCATGGCTGTAGCACTTGGTTGCCCAGCACCAACTACACTCTGTCTTTCAGCGGCTTTCGGACTGCCGGGTGTAGCGGCTGTCCCGGGTCCCCCAGGCCCAACGATTCCTGCGCTTGGACTTGCAGCTGCTGGACCAGTGCCACCGGGCAGAGCGGATCCAGCACTTGGTCTTGCACCAGCTGGGCCTCCAGATACAGCGACTCCTGAGCTCGATTTTGCCGCTGCCGCTCCGGAGCCTGTGGGAACAGCTGCTGCTGCGCTTGGTCTTGAAGCTGGTGTCGCTCCAGGTGCACCGGTTGTTACGCTGGGACTTGCACCTGCCGGAGCAGAGCCTTCGGGCTGAGCGCCCGCGGCGCTTGGACGTTCTCCAGCTGAACTAGGGGCTCCAGGCACAGTGGCTGTTGTGCTTGCTCGTCCTCCTACTGGGCCAGGGCCTCCAGGTACAGTGGTTGTTGCGCTTGCTCGTCCTCCTACTGGACTAGGACCTCCAGGCACAGTGGCCGTTGCGCTTACGCGTCCTCCTACTGGACTGGGTCCTTCAGTCTTAGCGCCTGCTGCGCTTGGGCGTTCTCCTGCTGGACTAGCGCCTTCAGGGCCAGTAGCTGTTGCGCTTGCACGGCCTCCTACTGGACTCGTACTTCCAGGCTGAGCACCAGCTGCGCTCGAACGCTCACCTACAGGACTAGGACCTCCAGGCTGTGCACTTGCCGCGCTTGGACGTACCCCTGGTGGAGTTGGGCCTCCAGGTTGAACGCCTGCTGCACTTGCACGTTCTCCTGTTGGAGCAGGGCCACCAGGTACAACGGCTTCCCCTGGGGCCCCGGTGCTTTCCCTGGCGGCTGCCGGCGCTGGTGTGGGCGCGTATCCGTCCTCCTGTGTGTCCAGCCCATCCGGCGCCACGATGTGGATGTCGATGCCGCTGCCGCCCAATCCGCTCGCCCTCTCGAGGGCACTGGGACGCTCGGACACTCTCTCGAGGCCGCCGTCCTGGACGTCCAGGCTGAACTTCCTTCGGTGCTGTTCGTCCACATCTTCCATGCAGATGGACTCGGCGTGGCTCGCCTTGCACTCGAGCGACGCACCTCCCTCCGCGTCTCCGTCCTCTCCCAACGCGCCCGATCCGACGCGGTCGAGGGACAGCCCGTCCTGTTGGGAGCTCTCCTGCAGTACCGTCCCCTCGAGCGACTTGTAGCCGTCGTCGGTGGGCGCGACCTCGAAGTGCTCGCCCCCGCTGTCGCCCCTGGGCCGCTCGCCGGCCGCCCCCTGCTCACCCGAGCCCCTCTTCCTCCCCGCCTCCCCGGACACTCTTCTGCTGCCATCCTCGGCCTCCGAGGGCCGCCCGGAGCCGGCTAGAGCATGGCCGGGGAAAGGCGCCAGCAGAGTGCTTTCCAGCTTCGAGGAGGGATTCACGTGGAATAGCGTGTACGACTTCCGCGGATGTGTCTCGCGGAAGTTCTTCACCATGAACTGTCCGCTGACGTCACGGATCTGGCGGAAGTGGGCGAGCTGGAAGAAACAACGGGTGGTGAGAGCGAGCGGGCCGAGCGTGCGTCGGACGCGCCGGTCAGTGCACTCGATGGGTCCCACCTGGTCGGAACTGATGCCCAGCGGAGTGCGACATGTCAGCCAGAGAATGCGGTGTTTGCAGGTCGGGGATGACACCGCTCCCCAGTACAGGAAGTAGTCCTTCTGGAAAGGCACGATGAGCTTCTCGATCGCCATCGGGTCGATTGTCGTGGACGTCTGTGGGAGTGTGACCATGGGCAGGGCCTCCACGATAGGAGTCAGGTCCGAATTGTTCTGCTCCTGGAGCTGTAAGGGCAACGCGTTACACGCGTTTCCCCAGTAGATAAGAAAAATGCCAAGCTTGACAAAGGGAAAGATGTGAATAAAAGCGAAATAGCCTCTTTACCTGGAAAAGGTATATCAGAATAGCTACGCCGTCGTTCTCCTTGAGAGCTAGCTCCTGGGTACGGTATATTCGATTGATATGGACGACGTGCAGCTCCATTGGCAACCTGCAATCCCACGGCGACGGAACAGATCAGTACCGTCTCTACCCCAACCCCCTCACCCCAAACCTCCCCCATCTGTTCCCCCCACGCGATGTGCTCAGAGGGATTTGGGTGTGCGGAGGCGAGGCTGGCCGCACTCACCATCACGAACCAAGCCACGTCATGGTTTTGACGCAAAGCCCGATAAAATCGTGTTATCCTCTCCGCCTGGCTCTCGACTTTACTACCCCCTTTTCCGGAGCGCAAAATAAAAAGGGCGGAAAGCGATATCGGGTGGCTGGGCGCCGCGCGGCGCCCAGGGCCCGAGGCGGGGGGCGACGTACTTGACCCCGTCCACGCTGTGCTCCGACCCCGTGTCGTCGCCGGGCCCCCAGTGGAAGTGCATCTGCGCGAAGACATATTGGCCCTTGAAGGGGCCGTCGCGCAGGTACGATCTGTTGCTCTCCCACTTGCCGCCCACGTTCACTGGCACGGGCCGATAAAACAAAAGGAGGCTGTAACGCCGCGGGCGGCACAAACACCAGACTCACAAGTTCTGAGAGCGCCAGTCACCCGTGTGCCCCGTGTTGGTGATGACGAGCTTGTTGGGCGGGTTCCCGTAGTTCTTCCACGTGAGGTCGGGGAGCCGCAGCAGCTTGGTGCCCTCGATGGCGATGTCAGTGGGCGCCTCGACCACGCCCTCCTTCTCGGCGAGCCCGTGCACCAGCTGGACGCCGCTGGGGTCCGCCTTGGCCACGGGGGCCGCGGGGGCCGGCTTGGCCTCGCCGTCCTTGGCAGAGCTCTGTTCGGACATGAGGCATGGAGCCTGTCCTGGCGGGGCCGGCCCGGGGCAGCGGCGTCAGCAGGCGTCAGACTCCCTCGCCGTCAGTGCTGGGGCGGCGGGTGCGGGCCGGGCCGGGTCACGGGCGGCGCCGGGGACTGTGCTGCTGGGGAGGGTGTTAGGCACAGGGTACTCGGCAACGTTACCAGCGCTCGCAGGAGCCTTTGCAGTGCCGCACTACTTGCCTTCATCACAGCCAAGGACCCGGCACGGCTACACCTGCAATAAATAATTAGTTCATCACTTTATTGAGTGCAAACATAACGGTCCAACTAACCGAAACGAGACAGTAGTGTAAACCCTGGCGGCGCCGCGGTGCCCGCTGTTACTTTGACCTACACGACTCGGAGGCTACACGGTGGCCTACTTTTACATTGTGTGGCGTATGCAGGCGTGGTAAAACGTTGCCTACTTGCTTCGTGCCATGAAGGCACCGTGGTAAAGTGGCGGTAGGCAAACTCACTCACAAGGTAGCCTGCGGCACCGTATAACTACAAAGTGTTCCGGTGTGTCTATGCGTGTGGAAGCAGGGTGGGGGCGCACCCAGTCGGGCCACGCAGCCGCCAGTAAGGGACTTACTCCGGGGCCGTGCTCGGTGCGAGGGGCGGGGACAGTTAACCGCATCAACAGGGAAAATCCATATTCGTACAAAGCCCCTTAGCGCCGTATCTAGATTCCCTGCGCTCTCCCGGCCCCCTTCCCCCTGCCCCCTC